GGAGGCGGAGCTTGCAGTGAGCTGAGATCTGGCCACTGCACTCCAGCCTGGGCGACAGAGCGAGACTCTGTCTCAAAATAAATAAATAAATAAATAAATAAATAAATAAATAAATTCCAGCCTGGGCGACAGAGCGAGACTCTGTCTCAAAATAAATAAATAAATAAATAAATAAATAAGAAGTTGCAGTGAGCCAAGATTGCACCACTGCACTCCAGCCTGGGTGACAGAGTGAGACTCCAACTCAAAGAAAAAATCAATCAAACAATCAAATCAATCAATAATCTACCATGTCATTTACCTATTTAATCTGTTGGTGTCCCAATGTTTTTCTTCTTAATTTAACTGAGCATTCTATATTTTAAGGGATATTAACCTATTGTCATATTTATTAAAAATACATTTTCTAATTTATGTCTTACAATGCACATTCTCATCTTATGTTAGAACTGTCCAAACACCACCAAATCATAGAACATTCAGTAAAATTCCTGGTTGAGTAGAATTACTTTTTTTTTTTTTTTTTTGAGAGGGAGTCTCACTGTGTCATTCAGGCTGGAGTGCAGTAGCACAATCTTGGCTCACTGCAACCTCTGCCTCCTGGGTCAAGTGATTCTCGTGCCTCAGCCTCCCAAGTAGCTGGGATTACAGGTGCACACCATCACACGCAGCTAATTTTTTAATTTTTATTTTTGTGATTTCAGTACAGACATGATTTCACTATATTGGCCAGGCTGGTCTCGAACTCCTGATCTCAGGTGATCCACCTGCCTTGGCATCCCAAAGTTCTGGGATTATAGGCATGAGCCACTGCGCTCAGCCAAGTAGAATTAAATTGAAGAAGGCTTTATTATGTGCCAATCAGGTTGGACCATGAGATTATCTCAGTAGGAGAATGAAAGGATGAGCAAAATCTATAAATAGTCCTGGAAAGTGCCATGGACTCAGCTGGCTTAAAATAGTGAAGTCCATCAGTAGTGCCTTGGGACTGTGGCAGAATGTTTTCTTTGTGATTAAAAAAAAAAAAAAAACAAGCGCTCATTCCAGAAAGAATTGGCAGCATTCAAACTCTGCTACTCAGTAATAAACTGAGGAATGATAGATGGTGGGCTAGAGAGATTGTGTAATAGCTGTTTGCCAAAATACTCTAGAAAAATACATGATTTTATTTTTTATACACTTTGCAAAGAAAATGTTTATCAGTGCTGTATATTTTATGCATGGATGTATACATATTCCATATTAAGAACACCAAAGAGAAAGAAAAGAAGTGAAAATTTCCATGTTCCAGTCAAACTACAATAATTCTTTTTGAAGCTCCTTGTCATTCTGATGGGAGGAATATTTTTTTTTTTTTTTTAAGATGGGGTCTTCCTCTGTCACCCAAGCTGAAGTGTAGTGGCGCCATCATGGCTCATGCAGCCTCGACCTCCCAGGCTCAAGTGATCCTTCCACCTCAGAGGATGACATTCTTAAAGGACTTTGGGACATCTCATCTATTTCCCACTCCATCCCAGAATGAGTTCTTAACAAGTGCACAATAAGGACATCTCTGGAGGATATTCCTAAGGTCCTTCCACAAGTATTAATGTGCACTCTTGTGCTCCAACAATAGTTCCTATTCCTAACGGGAAAAAAATGGTTTCCCTCTGATGAATAGTGCAAGATTTAAAAAAGAGACACGAGTGAAAGAAAGTGGGGAGTGGTGTCAAAGGCAGCATGAAAAATAGTTTACAGTGCTACCTCTCACCGACTGTCCTGGGCATTATGGTTGTAAGCATGGGTTTGGGGGTTGGACTCCTTGGGTCCCAGCTTGGCTCCGTCACATCCATGCTCTGCAACTTTACTAAACCTTTCTAAGCCTCACTCCTTCATGTCATGGTAGAACAACAATATTGGCTCATAAGATTGTCAAGAAGATTAAACGAGACAATATAGGTAACACATAACTCAGTGCCTGCAGTAGAGTAAGTGTTCAAAAATGTCAGCTCTTGCAAAACCAGCAATGGCAAAGTAGAACACATGAGCATCATAGGGTATTGTTAGTATTATTAATTCCTAGGAGGAACTGAGGAATTTCTTTTTTAATCTTAGATGAGCCATCAGGAAGGAAAATAGAGAAGTGACATCAGAACCGTGTTATCTTTTCCCACACTGAGATGACATAGAATAGTCTTCTCCCAAGGACATCCTAGCTGAAGGCCGTTGAGGGTGAGGAAGGCTGTGCAACGTTCTCACCCAAGCCTGCCACTGGTTTTTCTTCCAAGACCTTTGCAGTGCTTCCCTTAGGGACTTTCTACTTTTCTTTCTCCTGATACGACCTACCACAAAATAGACAATTGGATTGACACTGCAATTGATAGTGGACAAAATATTCAAATAAGGATATAATTTCCACACCAAGTTGTTACTAGGATTAAAAAAAGGCTATGATGCGCAGGACCTTTATGGGCATGGCAAAGACAAGAAACAAGACCACAGTAGCTATGATGATTATGTAGAGCTTGGCAGGTTGGCGTGGCTTCAGGTTACAGCAGACTTGGATGAGGAGCCTCAAACTGGCGAAGATCATGAGAGGAACAAAGACAAGGAATGCCAAGATACCTAAAAATTTATACACGTATGGACGTTTTGGGAATCCAAACTTATCTACCTGGATGCAGAAGTTTTCTAATCCAAACACAAGAAGAAAAAGTGCCCACAGCAGAGTGCAGGCTACAGCAGATTGGTGCTTTGGGAGTTGGCACTGGTACCAGCTTGGGTAACGCAGAGAGACACCGCTCCACACTGATGACGGTGAGAAGGTGCAGACCTGTGTTGTAGCCAAAAAGTATCAGGAAGATGCTGTATTTCAGTAAGGTGTCATTGTTGAGGCGATCACAAAGCAAGATTATCAGCTGGAGGACAGATGTGCAGAGGACCATGAAGTCAGCGATGACGAGGTGTAGGATGTAGACAGTGAATGGCTTCCTCTTTACATAGAAGATGAGAAACAACATCAAAAGTCCATTCCCCATTACTCCCAGTATGCAAATGAGCAGGGAAATGTAGATAGAACGGTGCTGTTCTCGTGATTCTACTGGGGGCTGAGTCGCTTGCTCTGATGACCAGGTTGTGTGATTCAGGGATTCATTTCTGGTACAGAGTGCAGATTCCAGAGGGCTCACGGTCACTGCCGATAGCGCCATTCTTGGGGAATCACTGGTTTTCTCCTGTAGACCTGTTGTCAGAAACGGAAGGTGGAGTTTATGGGTGTCATTTGCTCTGCATCTCACGATGTGCACAATTTTATGAAGGACGCTCCTCCACACAGTGGTGTAAGACCAGAGAGGCTCCTGCTGTGTTTCGTCTCCTTCCCTCTGTTCTCTCCTTCCATCATTTTCCTGCATGGGCAGATTCCATTATGATCTCCATGTTTCCTCCCCTGAACCCAAGGGTTGGCTCCTAATTCCAGCCTCGGCTACTGTCTCAGACCAGGGTCCCCTTCCTCCTGGCCCTGTAGGAAAGCCCACTATGTCCCCAGCTTGTCCCCTGCCTTCCAGAAAGAGATTTCTTTTCTTACCAGAACTAGGTGACAGATTCAAGAAAAGGATCAAAGAGACACTTATTTAAAAGGCACCAATGAGCAAAAACCAACACACTAAAGAAGTAAAGAAAATAAAGATAGTGCATTTAGAAATCCACCAGTCATGTCTGTCTTATCTCTCATCACTATTCTGGTTTTGCCTTTGTAGCATCCCCCCGGAAGTTTATCCATCCTAGATGAAGGTCATTCCCTTGGGCTTAGTTGATAAGAGAATCCAGCCATTGATGGGAGGATGGAAAGGAGCAGGAGAGGGGAAGACAAAGAGGGTCTCTTGGAGTTGGGGTTCAAGGAACAAAAGGCTACTTAGAGTTGGGGATAGGCAGAATTGTAATGTCCAGGCCCAAGCCAGTGCGTGGTCCCCAGGTGACCCTAGTGTTGTGATGCCTTGATTGTCCCACCACTTTTTCATCCTTATCCCATGTTCTCTGCTGCCTTAGTGATGGCCTGACCCCAACCAACTGAAGTGGGAGGGAACTGGGTTCCAGGAAGGGCTTCTAGAGCAAGACCTTCCTGCTTTTCTTTGTGGATGCTTAGGCAGCACAGGATGGGCCTCTCCTATGTACAGATGAGCACAGTGTTAAAAGTCACTTGTCAGGCCCCCTTGGAGCTCAGAACACATATTCTAGAGGATTGGCTAGGTTTCCCAGGATGGCCAATGAACTCTGACATAACCTTAGTTGTCACTGGTGTGCACAGTGGAATCATTCCTGTTGCAGTGGCTGCTAGAGAAATTAAAAAACAGCCTCAACCAGGCCCTTTCTTTCCCTTGCTCTCTCCTCCTTCCCGTCCTGGGCAGACTCTGCTCTTGCCCCATTTTTGTCCTCCTTACTTGGGCCCAGGCCATAGCTCTCTGGTTTCCTTCTCCTTAGCCACCGGCCAGAGGCTGATGGGACTGTCTCTTCACCCCCAGCCCCTGCGAAGAGGGATAGCCCTCCCTGGGCTCCTCGCCTCTCTGGAGCAGGTGCAGGAGCCTTGGGGCAATTCCTTTGGTTTACATTGTAGAGTTTCATGGGGTATGAGAACAAGCAAGAGAGTCACTGTTTCTGGAAGTCTCAGGCTCCCAGGCACGGTACACGGCACAGGCCCTTCTCTCAGTCATCCTTGCCCCATTCCCAGCATCACTCTGACGGCCCAAATCCTCTGTAATACAGGGGCCTCTGCTCAGACTTCTTCTGCATTTTTTAAAATAAAATACATGGCTTTTCTTGCTGATAAAAGTAACAAACTAATTTCAAAAACTTTGGAAAGTGCAGAAGGATGAAAAAGTCCACCTGTTTTCCTATTTTACCGTCCAGATAATTTCTATTAATGTGTTGATATATTTCCTAGAAATGATAGTGTATATGGTTTTACACCTATCCTGTTTTCTGTTTTTTTTTCTTTCTTTCTTTCTTTCTTTTTTGAGACGGAGTCTTGATCTGTCATCCAGACTGGAGTATAGTGGGACAATCTCGGCTCACTGCAACCTCTGCCTCCCGGGTTCCAGTGATTCTCCTGCCTCAGCCTCCCAAGTGTCTGGGATTACAGGCATGCACCACCACGCCCTGCTAATTTTTGTATTTTTAGTAGAGATAGAGTTTCATCATGTTGGCGAGGCTCATCTCTAACTGCTGACCTCAAGTGATCCGCCCCACTTGGCCTCCCAAAGTGCTGGGATTACAGGTGTGAGCCACCGTGCCCGGCCCAATACCTACCCTTTAAACTTAATAGTATGCCACCAATATTTTACAGTCTTTAAGTTTTTTCAAAAATATGATCGATGACTACATAATATGATGTTTTGTTTTATCTTTTGTTCATTCTTTTTTTTTGAAACAGAGTTTCGCTCTTGTTGTCCAGGCTGGAGTGCAATGGCACGATCTTGGCTCACTGCAACCTCTGCCTTCAGAAGTGATTCTCCTTCTTCAGTCTCCCAAGTAGCTGAGATTACAGGCATGTGCCATGATGCCCAGCTAATTTTGTATTTTTAGTAGAGATGGGGTATCCATGTTGGTCAGGCTGGTTTTGAACTCCTGACCTCAAGTGATCCACCCACCTCAGCCTCCCAAAGTGTTGGGATTACAGGCATGAGCCACCACACCCAACCTTGTTCATTCTTTATTTTACAATTTCTGTTACTAAATATCTAGGGTGTTAATAATTTTCCATAAATGGCAATACAGAGGACATCCTTGTGTATACAACTTTCCTGTATCTCTGATTATTTCCTTAGGATAGATTACTTCAAGAACAGTTACAAGGATTTTAAGGCTTTGAGACAGAAAAACACTGTGGTCCAGAATATGGGCTTCGGGGTCAGAGATGTGGGTTTGAATTTTGGTTTCAGGTTTCTTAAGTATCTGACCTTGAGCAAGTTCTTTATCTTTTTCTTTCTTTTGAGACAAGATCTCGCTCTGTCACCCAGGCTGGAGTA